TATCCATCTATCTATCTATCTATCTATCTATCTATCTATCTATCTATCTATCTATCTATCTATCTATCTATCCGGATACATAATTATAAAATGTTATATAATTATAATAATATATAATACAATAATGGCAATATGTTATATAATGAATACTAATAATAACATATAATATAATATTACTAATAATAATGTTGGTGTTATTAAAACTATATTTCAAATAGCTTTAAATAGAGTAGGCTATAGCAGGTCTTAGCACATGACACTGCTTGGATATTCATGTACACTATTCATAACTTTTTCTTCTTATCTATTTATATTGGATTGCTTTATATTTGACATTTACGGTGTGACGTCGCCAGAGAGCCGAGGGTCTGTCCTTATCAAAAAATGAAGAGGGTTGAACTTTGTCAAGGGCAAAACGTTCAATGATTCGACTCTCCACCTCTCTTCCGAATGCTTGCGCGGTCATCTTAAAGCACCACGCTGCCAAGAACAAACATGAGAAGTGAGCTCATGAAGACACATCCTCTTGTTTTGGGCAGGGCGAAAAAACATGACACTGTGTCTCAAATGACAGCGCAACACAAACCCCAGTGAGTGAAAGCGGCAATCTCACGCTGTGATCGAGGGAGTCGGTGCTCGATTGCTCTGGTCTGACGTGAAGATGGCAGAATCGGAGTATAATGTTTCAGTTCCTCACTTGAACTCCCTTCTACAAATGGATCCTTACCTCAAACCCTTTGAAAACGACTTACAGAGGAGGTAAAACGGGCTTTTAAGCGTTATTTGCATCTTGTGTCTGGGTAATGGTCCTGTGCCCGTCCCAAACGCACATCGACACACGCATGTCTGTGTCAGCCCTTCACACCCGGCACTTAGGACGTGTTTTATTAATTCAGTGTAGTGTCCATTAAGAGACAGCTGCTGGATGCTCTCCGCCTCTGTGTGTAAGTACTGCGTGTGCTCTGCTGAATATGTAAATATGGACATCGATGGTTTTATGGGAGCTTCTCTGAAATCAACACAAATAAAAGAAAACGCAGCTTTAAGAAGACAGTGGAGGACAACAGTTATTTGGCTGTTTGTCGTGCTTCATAGAGTAACAACAACACCCCCCCTGTACGTGTCACATAACAGGTGCTTATTTTAATAATAGAAACCAGGGCTGCTTATATATTAAAAATAATATTTTCTGGATAAATATCACAATATTTTGTCATTAACTTGTTGCAATCTTTTATAGGGGTTCTATTATGCTTTTTCACTTTTTCAACTTTAGTTAGTCTGTTGCTGTTTTGAGCATGAAAAAGATCTGCGAAGTTACAAAGCTCAAAGTGCACTTCAAAAGGAGATCTTTTATTGAACAGAAATCACTTTTCGAAAACTACAACCAACGACTCGTTTGGACTACAACGCATATTTTCCGGTCACAGCACACACTGACACTGGCACAGCTAACCAATCACAGCGCACACTGACACAGCTAACCAATCACAGCACACACTGGCACAGCTAACCAATCACAGCACATCACACACTGGCCCAGCTAACCAATCACAACACACACTGGCACTGCTAACCAATCACAACACGCACTGGCACAGCTAACCAATCACAGCACATTTCGTGTTTCAGAAGGCGGGCCTTCATTTGATACAGGAACTATTCGAGCCGTTCATGCCAGACTGGGGAGAGAGGTGTTGTAATAATGTAAAATATGTGAAAAATAATGTGTTTTTCGAACAACCTAGTATGAGAGCCTGTTCTAGTACACCCCCAAAACAAAATCAAGACTTTGTGAAAGAGCATAATAGGACCCCTTTAAACAAACGTAAGCAAAATATATATTTAAAAATACTAATACAATTAAATGTAAAGAATTTGTTATGAATATTCTGCTAAAAAAAAAGATTACATGTTGTTGATGGAACAAATAAAAAATACACTTATTTGATGCTCTCTGTAATAAAATTGCATAAGGTTTATTTAAATAATTAAAAAAATAAATTTTATGTTTTAACGTTCTTATATATATATATATATATATATATATATATATATATATATATATGTGTGTGTATAAAAATACACTCAAATCACTG